CAAAATTTCCGAGAATTACAAATTCCCACTCTGTCCAAGATTGTCCACCATTCTCCACGAACCTCGAATTTTTATTCCTAACAGAGAATTGCCCGAAATTGATCAGTGTTCCCTCTAACCTAACGGGGTCTAAATGTCCCATTATCCGGCTGTTTTCCATCGTTGCAGAGCGTCTCGATGTATACAGCGTGGTTCGATCAGGCGAGCCGATGAAATTTTTCCGCGCGAGCTGATCCTCTGCTTCGTGAGGACCGTTCGGTCAAAGTGGCTGGCTGGTTGGCAGCACAAAGTGTCAGCCCGTTCGATTATTTTTCGAAAAGTTTCCCGCCTGCAATCGCGTCAGAGATTTTCTAACACGTTTAGAAGAGGTGAACCAGAGAGGCACAAGTGTATTGTAAATGTATTAGCAGAGTGATAGATAGAGGGCTCGTTAATGCTTTATCGCGTCGTTCACCCGACTGGATTTGGCCCACTTAGCCGTTTCTGGAATCCTTCGATCGATCCATGCTCACTGACATCCGGTTCTTCCTTGCCTCTTGCATCCATTTCGAGTTCTGGTCTCTCGCTACGATGGATACAGAGGCCTGACAACGCGACCGTTCTTCCGCTTCACTATTTTAACCTAACATCTCTGTGTCCGATGTACAAGTAGGATTCTGTCGCCGGTTTGTCACATTTTCCTAAGAATAGACTTTTATTCTTGACATTTTGGGTCGATGGGAGATTTTCGGGACTCGAGTTTGTATTTGGAGACAGGAATATTTTGGGTATCTAGGAAAGGAACAGGTTTTTATTACCCAGAGACGAGTAGCTGTGAGATAGCTCTTTGATATTTTAGGTTGATGGAGGGTTTTGGGAGTGGAGAAGAATAATATTAGAAAAGAATAAATTTCTAGCATCTTATATTCTAACATTCCACGAGATTGGAATATTTCGAGATCAGACCTTTACTTTCCCATAAATTCTTCCAATTTATGAACCAATTTTTCACTTAACAATCATTATCATACTTCCCCCTATTTGTGACACTTCAAAAATATTCCTCGAACTTCTGACGATGCAATCTCTGCACAAAACATGTTACTTTCTTCCTTTTCTTATTCTAACCAAGCTTCAACTTCGTTCCACTCATTTTACAACCAATAAACACTCTTCTAAAACCCAATCCAACCTCACAGTAGCAAGAATTCCAATTACCCTCCAGTCTCTCCGAAAAGGAAAGGAAAAGAAGTGAAAGAATTCGCTGGGCCGTTGTACACTCCCGTTCGTAAGTATTTAATGCGAGGCAAACCCAAATTATTAAAATCCAAAACAAATGATTCAGTCTGGAAAAGTGTCACAAGTAAAAACTTTTCATTTTACTTCTTGGTCTACATACCTTCTAACACATAGATTTACCATCAGATGAAATGTTCGAAGTTGAAGTGTGATACTTCAACCAAGTAAATTTCAGCTGACGCACGTTTCACAATTCTGTAACGAGGTGACTCTCCAAAACTAGAAATTTTCTTTTGTTTTCGACTTGTGACAGTTCTCTCACGAGGCAACAGTACACGTATATTTACTAATTTACGATAACAATCTCAACCAACTTTGGCGAAGAAATGTAATTTAAATCGTAGGATACATTCTCTACGAACATAACGGGTGTCCCGATACTTCTGAACGGCAGTGTACACGTCCAGGCAAGAGAGAGGCAAGAAAAGGGGGTGACAGGTGGAAAAATCAAGGTAGCCAGCGTCGATCGAGCCTTTTCCACGGTTCCATTCGCCGCTGTGGTAATAATGAACGCGTCAATTTTTCGTCTCTGTCCAGCTGTCCCTCCCCTCTTCTCTCCCCCCATCGCGGTGCCATTTTTTCCGCGGGCCTCCTTTTCACTCGTTATCGGCCGCTTGCTAATGGCACGCGATTGCCTTTTCACCGGCCGCCAAAGTGTCTTCGTCCCTTTACCATCCCGTCTAACCCCCCAGCCCCTACCCCTTCTGCCATTCCATTTTCGCGAATCGACCGCGAAACTGAAGCCCTCTGAGGGAGAAATTTCAATCGTGAACGGACATACACCGTGTTCGAGAGCTTCATTTCGAACGGTTCTCCAATCTATTTTTTTCTCCTTTTTTCGAGAAGTTAGACTTTTTTTCAAGACAGTTTATCTTGTTCGTGGGATTAAGTTCCTTTTTGTCAGGCGGTGATTTGATGGAAATCCATATATCCGTCGAATTTTTCTCCTGTGTTCTCGCAGCAGATTGAAGAGAGGGGTGGTTCGGGGAGATCTTTTCTGAGATCTAGAGTGGACGAGAGACGTTTCAAATATTCTTTTTTCCAGGGGATGGTTTGCCATTAGCAGGTACGACGAGAAATCGACGAGGTCCCTCGAACGTAGATGAAGTCTTCGTTTTTAGGAAGATGAGGTAGTAGGGTGTTCTTTTGACGAGTTTCTGGTTTCGACGGGGTTTGAGGGTGGTAAATGGTACTTTGTTTTTTTTTTGTTTTTTTTGAATTTCTTCTGATTTTCTAATACTCTCCACAAAGAGATTAGTTTTTCTAGGAATTTTTTTTAACGACGAAAGATGAAATGGCTTCTCGATCTTAGTTAAACGGACCTACTTCGAATTTTCCAATTTTTCTTTCACAAATCAAATCCTCCAATCAAAATATTTTCACTTCAATCAAATAAAGCCTTCCAAGATTTCGTCCACCTGTGGACCTTCCTAGCCGAACAATACTCCTCTGTCATTTCCAAATAATTCAGGAAACCTACTTCTATGCCCATCGAAAAGTGAAACGCCAGGGCTATTAACCGCCGCGAGACGTTAATTCGTCCTTCGAAATGGACGAAACATTTTTCCGCCTCCCCCCCGTTCTTCGTGGTGGAATCGAATCGAAAAGGGTCGACCTATTATCGGTGAAATTGCAGCGATTTTCAAGTTTCCAGTGTCGATCGAGACTGGACAAAGGGAAAATTGACGAGTTATTTAATCTAATATCGGCCGTTCGATCGGAATTCGTGAAGTACACGTGTAAACGTTATTTTTCCCTCTTCTCGACTTTTCTAACTGGTTTTTTTTTTCCTCTCTCTCTCATCGAGTCCGCTTCTCGTCCACAATTATGCGCGGTAACGTGTGGCGAGCGTCACAGAGAGCCCCAGCAGTGATTACGCGGCAATTTCGAGCTAATATCGCGATCGTTATTATTTCAGAGAACTCGTCGATGCGACACAGTGCTCTGAGCCGCTCGTTCGATCGATCCGCGAAAGGGATAAAGGGTTATTTCGAGTGATTCGTGTTTCCTTTATGAATTAGTAGGTTCGATTTGTATTATTTCATGGAACTGGATGCTTTGTGATTTATTTGGTGCCGATGGATATGTAGGATTTGAAAGACTATTGGTGGAAGTACTTTTGCGGATATTTTCTCGGAAGGTTGTGGTTTTTGAAATGCGAACACTTAGAATTAGAAATTTTCGAAATATTTTTTGAGGGAAATTGATTGAATTGGCGTACTTGCTGTTCGGAATTTAGGCCTCTCCAAGTGTGACTATTTAGAATTAGAAGCTCTGGGAATTTTTTGACAGGGAAATTGAGAACTGGCGAATCTTTCCCTTGGATTCAGGGCTCTTTGGATGTGAAAGTTTGAAATTAGAAATCCTGGAAATTTTTTCACAGGGAAATCGAAAATTGGCGGATCTTTCGCTTGGAATTTAGGCCTGTTGTAATATGAACGCTTGGAATTAGAAATCTTGGGAATTTCTTTTACAGGGAAGTCGAAACTTGGCGAATATTTTCTTTCGAATATTTCAGACGGTTGAACACTCTTCAATTGGATTTAACGTCGGCTATATTTTTGTCACATATTAAGACTCTCGAAACGTGGAAATTCGTAATCAGAGGTCTTAGAAATGTTCTAATAAGGGAGCTGCGAATTGATGAATTTTTCATTCAGAAAATTCAAATCCACCGTGCTGCATAATTTCAACTTGGATTCTTGAAACGTGAAGTCTCTCAAGTCTTAGTTAAATGCTTTCCAGGAATCGAATTAATTCTAACCTCTCTAATCAGAGACTTATCAATCAGAAATTCACAGTATAATTAATCAAAATGTCTCCGAGTTCGAGTCTCTGTAGCTCGGTCAGAAAGTGAAAACAATTCAGCCTTTCAGTTGGACTCAGGCCAATGAAAAAAGGAAAGGAAAAAAAGGAGAAAGAACGTGTGCTCGACGAGACATAATACCACTCAGATTCGAAACAAGGCATACAATACCACACCACTCGAGAACACGAAACGAACAAGCACATAGACACTGAAAAAGACTCGCTTCTTCTCCAAGGAAATGCATCTCTCTTGACACTCTTGCATCGTCTCTACATATGTACACGAGCAAAATATTCATTTTGCAAAATATATGCAAAATATATATATATGTATATATACATATATACACATATATATATACATACGTGTCCGCCCGCCCCTTGTGCCCTTTTTTGGTACCCTATTTAGTGAGATGTATTTATCAGCAGTAGTTACTATCAGTTTTTTGAGATGATACACGTGGTATGCAAGCGAAATCCCCCCCTTTTTTCTCTCCACATGACTTGTTGTACGTGTTTTTACTTATGATTGCCCTTGAACAGTCTCTATATATTATGTGTAATATCTATATATGTATATATCTATAGTACGTATATAGTATCTGTAATAATTCGAGAATAATTGTTTTTGTTGCTCGTTGAACGACTAAAGTTTAGTTTTCCAAAAGAAACGAAAAAAGAAAAGTAAAAAAGAAACACCAAAGACAAGAATATTAAGGAATAATGTGTATGTAAGAAACACGCATAACAGAATGATACATCATGTACACACTCCTTGAAAAAAAAAAAAAGCAAAAGAGAAAATAATCGACGACCCAAAATGAAGTTGAAAAAAAAAAAAAAAAGATAGAACGGGTCGTCTGATTGAATGAGTTCATCGTTTGATTCACATTCGTCTTTTTTTCTGCTTTCAGCTGCACAGATTCCACAACGCGGAAGTAAGTACGATCAAATCACGTTGAGTACGTTTCCCTTTCGTTTCTCTTCCTGGCTCTTAATTCGGCCGATCGTCAATTAGACGCACACCACTGTGTGTGTATACACAAGGGGGGCATGAATCGCGTCTACGTTTGTACGAAAGACGAATCTTCTTACTTTTCTTTCTTTTTTTTTTTTATCTTGTCTTTCATAGTTCGCTGTTAAAAGGGGAAAATCTCGAGGCGTTTTATGTGGGGGCTACTACGCTTTCCGCTAATCGCCAATTAGCTCGCGTACTCTGCAATGAAACAGTCTTAACGGCTTAGGAAAAGTTTCTTCTTATTCGGAGAATTTTTTCGGGATTTTTAAACGTGTTACTTCATCGCGAGGATTAACCCTTTCGTTCCTATTATCAGCTGAAACTTTCGTTCTTCGTTTATTGTTCAATGTTTTATGTAAATTGGTTTCGTGCGGTGTTTAAAACAAATTGAACGTCATTTCTGAAGAAACGTTTCGTCCGTATCTTCTGTAGTTCACACTGAAAATTGAATTGAACTCGGAAACTCTGATGCGACGATATTAACCCTCTATGGGCCCGTGTAACTTTCAAGTCACATACTAATATATCGATATTTTATCAAATAATTGAACTTTCTTCCACAAAGTTGGCATAAACGTCTTGTTGTACAACGTCGCCTTATTAACCAGTAACTTTCTTGATAACCGTTGTTACTTCAAAGTTACAATATGTATTCATTATGATAGTCGAATTCACTGTTATTCTGCATTTATAGGTCGACGTTACATTAATTCTTTTACAGTCAAGAGAAATATTCGGCCCATAGAGGGTTAACCCTCTTCGCAATTGGGACAATTTTTGCTCGTTCATTTTCGGTAACTGTTTCGAACAAATTACTACCTTGAATACATTTCCAAACATCGAGTTACTTTCCTTTCCTCTTTCAAAGCACACGGAAATGTAAACAAATGTCACGTAACTGTAGGAACGAAAGGGTTAAGAAGAATGTTTCAGTGAGGAATTTTTCTTTCCTTTGAATGAATTTTCACGAGCGAGATTATGCGATAATTTTATGAAAGAAAAATCTGAGGAACGTATCGACTAAAGGACCGTTTGAATTTTAGCATGCAAGAGGAAAGACGAGATGGCGAGCCAGGCAGAACACCAACAGCCCGCCCCCAAGAAACCGCGCCTGGTTTTCACAGACCTTCAGCGCCGTACTCTACAGGCTATTTTTAAAGTAAGTCTTGTATAACTTAACTTGCGTTTTGATCGATACCCAAACCCACCCCGTTCTACGTGTCTCGATTGTCCCGCTGGAAAGGATACTCAAAGGCGGCCATGGATTCGCCGTGTCGTCCTCGAGTGCCTCCTTTTTCCCTTTACTCCTTCATTTTTTACAAATTTTCCACTGCGCCTATGTTGCGTTCCATTCTCGAGCGTATCGTCGATGCGAAAATTAATCGCCACCATTGCGATTATTTACTATATCTTGCAAGCTCTCGCGGTAGCCAAGTGAAATATCAGTGGAAACTCTTTTGAGGGAATTGAACGACACACTGGAGAAATTCATCTTCTCCCTAACTGTGGGAAACAAACTGAGTTCACAGATGGACGAACGAATTTAGCGACTACACAAAAATTAAATTACCACAAAAGGTGCCGCAATTGAGGAATAGAAATGTGATCACATATTTCTTACCGTCACAGAAATCGAATAATTGAGGAGCTGGAATGGTAAACGATGCAAGTGCCAAAAGTGACAATTTTCAGTACCTATAGGGGAAAAAAGTGTCCATTGAACTTCACAACTTCCGGTGTTTACCACCTTCGTAGATTTAGATGGAAAATAATCTACATAGCTCTGCTTGCAGTGCACTATTTCTGCCACTTTCGACTCCTCGCTTATTCAAATTGCTGCCGACTGCAATATGTGATTAAATAGAAGTAAAACTGAGGAAGAGGAAAGTGCCAGGATGAATTAAAATAAAATTTGCGAGAGGGGTTGGTGGGTCAACGTTGATCTACTCGAAAATTCTCGATTATCTTTCTTGCGATTCGAGGGTGCGTGTGCAAAATGGGGCGGGAAGAGGATGAGAGAGAGGAGGAGAAAAGAGGAGAAGGAAGGCACTCGACTCGCGGCTCTCTGTGTGGAACACGGTTATTATGGCGCATCGATGGAATGCGCGTTACACACGCGGTGTCTATCGAGGTAATTTACCGTACGACGTAGTAATTTTGTTAAGTGAGAATTTGTTGAGAGCGTTTCCATTAACGCGCGCAAAACTCTCGACCACCTCGAGGTCCGTGTACACGTGTATCAGTAGTACACGAGGTGAACTGTGTTAGCAGTTTTTTTTTTTTCTAAGCGATGAAAATCAGGCTTCGCCTGGTTGAAGAACTTAGGAATAACGTTGACACTCTGGAGATTTTTGGCATGATTTTTTATTATCTATTCTGTGGTAATATATGATATCAGACGATCAGAGGTATTTAGTGTGAAATTATTTCTGATCTGCTTGAAATATTTTTCGTTAATCCTAGAGTACTAATATTGTGCTCGAAGAGATTTCTTCTCATATACACTTTTCCTCTGCAAAGTAAATTGAAATAAATAGTTTGTACAATTTTGATATTAATAAAGTACAAATATCATTTGTCGTCCATCCTATGTTAATACTAGTGTCACAAAGAATAAATGTTAGTATTCCAGGATCAGTGAAATCACTCAGCTCATTTCATTCTACTTATGTATACACTGTTACCTAAAAGTGTGAAATCACTATGAACTACAAGTTACGAAAGAATTTTCAGAAAAAAGGTGGGAATTTTCGAGGAACTTTTAATGAATTTTGTATTACTCCACTTTATCAAAGTAAAGGAAATTGCGCTGTTCAAATCTACAATTGCAAATTCCTGAAAAATTGCTGGCAGTTTCAGTGTTTTCGAGTCAGACCATTTAAGGAATCTACTCGGGATAGGGGACTCAGGTGGTGCCCGAAAGATAGATTATCAACGTGCAACAGTTTGCTGTTAAAACTATGTATTTGTGAATGAGCGTTGTGCAGAGCGCGAAATGTCTAGGCTTACCGATAGGAAAATTGTGCGTCGTGTCGTGTGGTGTTTGCTATTTCATAAACTACGAGTGCGTTGTGATTGGTGCTGTGAAAACTGTCGTAGGCGGTGGAAGTGTGTGGTGATTGGTTTTTTCGGTGTGTTTGGGGTGTGTCTGCTGGTGGTGTGAAAGTGGGGAATTCGTTCTTACATTTGTTACATTGCTTGTCTGAGAATTGGTGATGTCGAAGGTCCGTTTTATTTCTTAGGGCATGTGGCGTCCAGGTGTGAGAGTCGTCGAACTTTTGGTGTAATAAAGTAATTTGCCCATGCCGGCTAAAACCTCGCTTTTTAGAAGGTGCTGTCTATTGAAAATACCGATGTTATTGTTCGGCTCGTCTGTACGGCCGAACATAAATTCACGAGTGGTTTGTACATATTCAGAGTAAAAGTTAAATAATATTTCTACGATATTCAGATTACCGAAATATTCTATTCCTAAGCAAACTTCATTCTACAACGATATTCTTCCAGTATTCAACCAAAGAAACACGTTCATTATCAACACTACACTTCCTATGCTTCTCATCAAACACGGTAATAACCAATTTCCCCTTCGTTTCCCCGCAAATACTAAAACACACCAAGAAACAGTGGAAAATCATTCTGACGAAAGGAGGAAAATTTCAGCGTAGATAGAAAGGAAGAAAAAAAGAAACGACGGAAACGCGCGTATTCGAGGGGTGGTCTTTCACGAACGAGCACGCTAACGAGGAAAGGGACGATAGCAATGGCCGTTCGCGATCACGGTGGCGATCGAAGCGCGGCGGCCAAGGAATCGGCCGCGAAATTATTCAACGCGGATCGATAGAGGCGGGTTTACGCGCGACGGGGCTGAAACTCCTCGTCCACCCCAGTCGCCGCGTTTTTTCTCCGCGTGCACGCGAAAAATCAGCTTCCCTTTATTAATGCACGCGAACCCGAGAACGCTTCGACGGGCGCGGAGAAAAAGAGGGAAATCGTGGATATGTGGATTGGTAACGGTGATACGTGTATAGTAATGAAGTAATAGAGTTATGGAATATGATAGGGTAGGGTAATATTTCCAATGGATTAGAGGGTAGATCTACCTTATTATTCACAACGAATGACGCTTCATTCCCGTGTGCCGTTCTAAGAAATTGTCTTACTTCCGTACCACAAACCAAATCAGTTAAATACCTGGGACTACACTTGGATTCGAAATTAACACGGAAACAACACATACGTTGTTCGACCAAATCCATATCAACAGGAGAAACATGTGCTGGCTTACATGCAAAAGATCTAAATTAAGTCTTGACAATAAACTTTTAATCTACAAAACAATTATAAAGCCCATCTGGACCTATGGCATCGAGATGTGGGGCATGGTAGCCAAAGGCCACATTGCTAAAATTGAGTCATTACAATCTATAATTCTTAGAACAGTAACCAATGCTCCATGGTATGTTCGACATTCGGAAGGACCTCCAAGTTAAAACAGTTTCTGATCAAATCACTAGTCGCTGCGACAGCTATAAAAAAAGAATAGACAGCAGTCATCCCAACGACCTAGCAAAGGATCTTCTATCCTAACGGCATCAAGCCTCAACAGATGTTATCCACAGGGATTATTTCTACGTGTTAATTAACCAAACCCGATACTACAATTTACCGAATGTCCTTGCTGGACAAATTGTAAAGATTCTTGGAGGAACAAAAATTGTCTTTCCTAATATCGAGCTTAACACTAGGTTTACGGGACGCGTCATTTTGACGCATTCCCAATTTCACGAGGACAACTACAGAAACCGTTTACATTCCTCTCCTACCACTTATGCTTATTATAAATTTTATAGAAATATATAATATCACGTAATTTCGTTTATAAGTTATATTTTAAAGGAAATCTGCGGTTTTGTTCACGCGTCAATTTGAAATGTCCGTAAACCTAGTGTTAACACGTCGAATGCCGGACCAATTCTACGTAACTTGTCCACGGCGCCGAGATGAATTTTTCGTTTAAATACAACGCATCGCAATATACGTAAGTAATATGTCAGCAGTTAGGAATAGAACCATTTAAATATGCTGTGTGACGCACTAGACGAAAATTTGACAAATATTAGATGATTGCAAAGGTTCGTGCCCGATTTGAAAATAAAACACAAGAGGTGTGTGCAAAGGCGCGTTTCGTTTGAAAATAAAATGAATAATTATTTGAAAATAAAACACAAGCGGTGTATCTTTCGATAGGAACGTAATGTAACGCTAAAACAAACATCTGTACTAAAGTGCGATAATCGGGCACGAACTTTGGCAATCATTTATTTCAAATTAAACGCTTTCACTAATCTTGGCACCGCCGGTCACCAATGATCCCCACGGCATTCGACGTGTGAAACACCTGAATTTTCGCTGGCACGGTGTTAGCCGGGGTATTCTGGTCTGGATGTGTCAAAAAATCGATTTTTGCATTTTTCGAATGTTTGTAGTCTTGAAAATAGAATCCTCAAGTATTTTTCTGAAATTCGGAAAAAAAAGATAACAAAGTTTGTAGAGGTCAATTTTAAGTCTGTCACGTCGTCTTGGTTAGATGCACCGTGAAATTTATTCGTCTCAACGAATTACCATTTTCTAACGTATTGTACATTTTCGTTTGGTACCTTGAGAAATTTTGTTTCGTAACGTGGCTGGACATAGAAAATCCAGCACATCACGACAAAAGTTTGTTAACCAATTTTTCTATACGTTTATTCAACTACAATTCGTATGGATGGTAATGTATTAAGTTGAAAGAACTGAATGATTTTAAGGGAAGAATATTTACAAATAATTATGGAAAATTGTTACGGAGCAACGTGTGCACGGAGGAAGTAATCGAGTTATCGTGTACGATAATGAGGAATTTAATAATAATAATAATTTCAATATTAATTCTCATCATAAAGTAAATGAAGTAAAAAAAAGTGCAAGTAAGGTGAAAATGGATAATCGTATTAAGTTTTGCAAATATTAAGTGACACCCTGTAGCAACGATGTAATAAAATTTTCGACGTAATTAGTAATAGAATATGGAATTTTTAACACATTTGTAAGGATTAAATCTACGTTCTTTTTTACTAGATCATAGTTTCGAACAGAATTTTTACGTAACGTTTGAGC